CGTACTGTGAGTTATATTAAGCTTTGAATGTTATATCATGGACATTTGATTGCGATGCTACTTGAGTCGCATTCATGGCCTATTGATGTGGATCACGTGATAGACATCCTGAGGCGACGGCCTGATCAAATTATTTATTGATAAAGAAGAAGTAGCGATGCCACGTCTTGGAATCCAGTAAGTCGAATTCACTTACACTGCAAAGTCGCAGGCCCATTAAGATATCTATTGAAACAGCTGCCTTCTTGACTTCGAGGAAATTACGGACGATGGAACCGAATCAGCGTATGAATGACCAGCAAGCGATTGAAGAAATGAGTTAATTAATTAATTACTGAATGAAGGAATAAATGCCATAGGAAGACTGTCATTCACTGATTACGACAATTTCTTCAGCTAATCAATTTAGAGAAGCGTTCGTTTCAAATCTCAACGAATTAAGAAACTTCAATAGGTGTGGAAGAAGGAATCGATTATTTTCCTGTTTAAATAGCAGTTAATGGTGTTCGCTTCCGATGCACGGTTCAAAGCAACAATTTAAAAGGAAGATGTAAAATCTTCTATTTAGCGGCGCCTTTCGACGGCGCACATCAGGTCTTGATCAAGATAAGAAAAATCAATCTACCTTGTTTCGATTTGGTATGCGATCTTTGTGGACTATCTTTTATGCGGTACGAGACAGGATCTGTGAATACCAAAAAGGCTAGGAAAGAAAGCCTCTTCTGAAAGGAATGAATGAAATCGGGGTGATTAAAACGAGTTAAACGACCATTTATTCAAAAATCAAAATCTTTGAGAAAACGATGAAATTATCTTCCTGTTCGTCGTTATTACCGTTGAATATGACGTTTCTATGGTGATAAAAACATGTACTAAAGTAAATATGTCCTGAAACGTGATTAAGCTCGTCTAGACAGCTTCTAACAGCTCTGTATTCGCAATATCCTGAAAGACAACATCACCGGGTAACGAACGAGCAGATGCTGATGGCCATCGGTCTGAGAAAATTATCGGACTAGCTCAGAGGCCAGCAGACCTGGCTTGGTTTGATTAAACGGCTTTAAAGGAGAATGAAAATATTTTAAAATCTTTCTCACTTGTGAATCTTGCAAGTTTAGAAACACCTGCTTACGGTAGACCCATTGCGAAAATGAATACGACGTCGCTGCAGTAGTGGACTTTGCCCAGTATTAGTCTGAAGTACCATTTGTAAGAGGCAAACAGCTAAAATGTGGATTGCTCTGCTGTTTAAGCTCTGTTAGCTTCAGATGAGAATGACGAAATAACAGTAATA